AAGTATTGGCACGGAGAATTTGTCGCAATACATACATACATATATGCAACGTTTTTTATTCTAATTTCTTTTCGATAACTTTTTATAAAAATATAGCTCATACTACACCAAAAAACATAACAATGAAATCTCTAAACTTTGTGCAAAACTCGGAAAATTTAATTCTATAATTATATTATATTTAATTATAATATATAATATAATATATATATAATATATATATAATTTAATTTATATTTAATTATATTATATAATATGCAGTTTTGTAGCCCAGTTCATGCTGATTATTGATATACTTTTGCCGATGGTATTATTTTCTTCCATACTGAAAAATCAGTATCTTTGTATGGAGGAAAATGCGTGACACCCACAGTCAGCAAAAAATATTACCTAAAATCAACAATATTTTGCATGCACTTCAAACCCGAAAATTCTCCTTGAGCAACTTTGTCCATTTTTTCTAATTTTTGTACAAAGTTAGAGATTTTAACTTACCTGGGTTTTGTTATATCGAATCATTCTGTAGTGGGATATACAAGAGGCACACATAGTGCCAGGAGTTCCTTTATGTTATTGAAAATCTTGCTTTTTTTAATGGAGATACTGCGGCACCCGTTTTTTTCGCGGCAATATACAAATTTCGTGCGAAAAAACTGGTATCTTTTTTAAGTATGAATAGCTAACTAACAGCCGTTTTCACATTTCTTGATTCACAACAGCTTTTTCTTACTAAGTTCCGCCGCCATATTGAACAACACCATGCACGAACAAATGGAAGTATCATTTGCACAGACGTGCAAATATTTAGGTACCTATGCATATTCTTTTCATATCACAAATTATGAATTATAAATACATATGTACATTAGTATGTATATTTATTACAAATGCACTTTAGATATACTACAAATACTTATTAAAACACATTAACACTTAAACACTTCACTTAAATTAGTTTATTAAAATTTTTCACTAGTACCGAACGAGAGACAAACGAACGACTAAACTAGCCGGCAAGTTAAACGTAACTGAGGATACGGAACTGCAGACGATAGGAACACAGAGTGCAAGGAAATGAGTGTGCATTAACAATCACTTCATATCAGTGTGCGGACTCTACCACTTTTGTGGTAGATCTACCAATTTTTTTCTGCTAAATTGCGTTTCTACCACATCTACCACCATAAGCTTAAAATCCATCACATTTTATAATTTTGCTCATTTCACAATAGGTTTGTATAGTAACAAATAGTCAGTGCTAGTTTGTACTGGAGCTTGCAAATTTTTACTGGAAAATTGTATTTGTTTTTATTATTTTTATGGCCTTATAACAATTATATTCAATAATTTTAAGTCTGATGAGGAAATGTGGTGATTTCCGAAATAGCTATCACTTCTACAATTTTTTCAAATTATTGTTGCTTTTCCACAATAAGTTTGCACTTAATACGACCTCGAGCTCATAAAAGTTGTTGAGGGTAATTGTATGATAACCCAAACAATTTGCAAGAGAGCACTGAATCGTAATCGCGTAATAACACGGGAGAGCTGCAAATTCTTGCTAGTGAAATTTTTACTATCAGAAATTAGCTAGCAGAAGAAGAGCTGAAGAAGAAAAATAATAAATGTCAAAAGCAGCCATTTGTTGAATTAGCTAAGCGTAAACAAAAGTAAAATTAGTGAAATTCAAAATATTAATGTTGTACTGGACTCTGTAAGTGCTTGTGTGTAAAGCAAAGAGTTTGTCAAAATAGTGCGTGCAAGTTTTCACTAGTTTCGTGTTCAATAACTTTTTCGGCTAGTTTTCCTTTCTTCTAAATTTTACGTCCTATTTTGTTTTTACGCTCCCGCGGCAATTTTTACTGGAGAAGTTAATATACACACACCTAACGTGGATGATTCTGACATCGTTCATTTTCTATAGATTTTGTGAAATATCGTGAATAGACAATTGTGAAACGACATTGGCTCTAATTTTCTCATTCCATTTTCTGATTAATTCCTCTTTCTTTTTAACACGTGCCAAATTTGCTAGGCGCTAGGATCAGTGAATTGATGTAATTCAGCAGCGAAATCAATATGTAGCTATAGACGAGAGGGGCATTGCAACGTGAAAAAGCATCTCATCTTCCATCCGAATCAACCAAAAAGTGAAAATTGATTTTTTGACACCTAAGCCCCCTTTCCGTAGACCAGGTCACATATTATTATTATTATAACACAATCAAGACATAGTATTTGGTATTACACAAGTAAGACATAGTCTTTTACAGTGCCGTATTTTACATTATGTAAATCTATTTTTGTAATAACTTAGCACTGTTTTGAAGTCCATGAGGTGTACTTTCTCTTTGGATAATTATTATTTGCATTGTCCACTTAAATACACTAGCATTGCCTTGACAACCTTATGAGAAAATACTAACTATATGAGTGATAGTCGCACTACGGTTGCGTTTATAACAGTAAAACTAGAGAAAATAGTGACAACTAAATCGATAAAAATCGATCTATGATAACCTGTGATACCGTATTCGCTAAAATGACGCTACGATAAACTTATTATGCTGTTTATGAAATATATTTAATAATAAATACTTTTCAGGAGAAAACAATGCCCTCCAAAACTATTACTGGTGGAAGATAGTTCCGAATAAAGTGCATTATTTTGACATATCTACATATGTAACAACAAAATACGCATGTGTTCGAACAGGTTTCGAAGAAGTTGTCAACATTTTCACTTTTGGGCCCTCCGGTGGAAGTTTTGAGAAAAAGATAAGTGCAGAAATGGACTTCTCCTACAAAAAAAAAAAACATTTACAGCATATTTTTATACAAAATTAAAGCACTACTTTACGACACTACAGCAAAATGCTTAGAAACTTATTTTCGCAATTTAGCAAACTACAAATTGATTTTAGACCCACTGTTTCTTCGTCAAATTTTCTTAGGATTACACATAGAATCCCTCTGTGCTAAACGTGCATAGTCGGAAAAATTTCCCATACAAATTGAGCCGCCCTAATGCATACATAAATATGTATATGTAAATCTATCCTCTGTTTTGGAATCTTCCACAATTTTAAAGGCTTATGTACAACTAAAAAACATTGGGGCTCCGCACACTGCTTCATATTTTCCTTTTGCAACTAGTTGTAGCAAAGACACTAACGAGTAGTGCAAACGCAGTAGGATTGATATGCTTAATTTCTCAGTGAATTCTGTTAATGTAAAGAGCAACACCACCCTATTAAAAATGTTTGCAAAATTTTATTAGATGGTTTGTGTTTTAGCTACATTGTTTTTGAACATTCACGTTGGTAGTTTTAAAATTGAAAGTATTTCCTCTCTGTGTTTCGATTGTTAACTGTTCCGTTTCCTCAGTCGGANTTTCCACAATTTTAAAGGCTTATGTACAACTAAAAAACATTGGGGCTCCGCACACTGCTTCATATTTTCCTTTTGCAACTAGTTGTAGTGCAAACGCAGTAGGATTGATATGCTTAATTTCTCAGTGAATTCTGTGAATGTAAAGAGCAACACCACCCTATGAAAACTTTTTGCAAAATTTTATTAGATGGTTTGTGTTTTAGCTACATTGTTTTTGAACTTTCACGTTGGTAGTTTTAAAATTGAATGTATTTCCTCTCTGTGTTTCGATTGTTAACTGTTCCGTTTCCTCAGTCGGATGAAGGACGTCTAATTAACCTGTTGCTCGTTCGTTTATTAAATACATATATTAATTAGCTTGCTAATGTTTAGTGTGCTGAATAAATTATTTAAAAAGTGTTTTAATTGAAAATATTTAGTCGCCTTCCTAATATGAAAAGTGTAAGTGCAGGCCTATTGAATAGAAAATTTGATGTTTGTCGGCAGGCTAATATTTCACAAGATGGCGAAGCAGCCAACAAAAGAGGAGGCGCAAAAGTTCGGTTTTTGTGTTTTTGTATATGCGTGTACACTTTGACGAGTACATACAGATGTGTGTACCCTTGTGGTCAGCTGATTAAGTCAAGGGACATTTTGACAATTTTTGGCCATTTTTCTTTGGTTTATTAAATTTTTATATTTTTTTTTTTATAAAAGTCTAACGCTTTACCTAGCCAGCGCCACATACATAAATCCACACTTCAAACTTCCTACGAAAATTATGAAAATTCAATGAACTTTAACATGTGCACTCGAAAATTTTAAACTCTTTGTTCAGAAAATTTTGGGTATGCAGTTTTTAGCTTATTAAATTTTAGTAGGTTAAAGTGCAAATTGTAAGATCGTAAGAGAATCGGGTGGATTTTTAATATTTTTTTTATTGACGATGTTATGTATTTTCATCTATTTTNTGACATTTTGACAATTTTTGGCTATTTTTCTTTGGTTTATTAAATTTTTATATTTTTTTTATAAAAGTCTAACGCTTTACCTAGCCAGCGCCACATAAATCCACACTTCAAACTTCCTACGAAAATTATGAAAATTCAATGAACTTTAACATGTGCACTCGAAAATTTTAAACTCTTTATTCAGAAAATTTTGGGTATGCAGTTTTTAGCTTATTAAATTTTAGTAGGTTAAAGTGCAAATTGTAAGATCGTAAGAAAATCGGGTTGATTTTTAATATTTTTTTTATTGACGATGTTATGTATTTTCATCTATTTTCGACAATTTTGTTTGTATGGGAGAAAATGTGTAGCACCATTAGCAAAAAAATTGCTAAAAACAATCGCGTTTTCTAGCGTCTTGAATTTTGCGCTTTAACCTACTAAAATTTAACAAGCTACAAAACTGCATACCCAAAATTTTTCTAAAAATTCTAAATAAAAAGTTTAAAATTTTTAGGTGCAAATGTTAAAGTTTGTTGAATTTCCCTAATTTTTGTACGAAGTTTGAAATATGCATTTAAGTGGCGCTGGTTAGGTAAAGTGCTAAACTTTTGTAAAAAAATATAAATATTAAATAAACAAAATAAAAATAGCCACAACTTATCAAAATGTCACTTGACTTATTCAGTTGACCGCAAGTGTATGTATTTAATCATATCAAAGGGCGATTTGAATGAAATACGAGTTTGTGTCAAGACTAAATCCAATAAAATAAAATTTAGATAGAAAATGTTGTTTCCGTCCTCTCTGTGTTTCCTCATTACAAGCAATTCCGCATCCTCAGCCGTTTTTTACCCATCAGCAGTGCGCGTTGCTTGTTTGTCTGTTCGTGAGTTCTAGTCAAAATTATTAAATTTCTTATTTAAATTGATTCAAAAAGTGCAGTTGCAATTTAAAAAGTGTGTGTAGTGTATTTAAAGTATATTTACAATAAATATAATTCAAAACTTGTGTTGTGAGCAGTGTAAGCATGTAAAATAGTACTTAGTAAAAGAAGTGGCTAATACGCACAGCGAAATTTGTCAATATGGCGGTGCGAATAACATAGCGTAGGAGGAAATGTGAAGACGGCTGACCGATTTTTGCTTTTCAATCTAACCCAAAAAAGAGCTGGTGAGTGAAGTTAAATATTTAATTTACAAAGATTTATGTTTTTTATTTATTTTTTATAAGTAATTTGTAAATTCATATGAACACATATTTATTTTAGATACATATTCTATTCAAGTTATTGCTATAAATGTGCATACTTATGTATGAATGTCAGCGGCAGTCATAGTCGAGTATTAGAGGCCCGTTTACATATAACTTTGGCGTTGCGTTGGCCCGTGCGCCCGTGCTTGCAACAATGAACGCTTAGCAGCGAATAATTTGCTCACTAAATTAACATA